TTAGGTCATTTTGTTCAGGTAGGAAAAAAAACCAAACAACTAAAACTCCAGAAAAAGAATTGTATGTCAGACAGTCTAATTAAATGCAGTTTGTTGAACTTACTTTGATAGAAGTGGATTCAAACAACAGGGGTCAAGGACAGATGTTTACACTTCTTTTAAAAGAAATCTCTTGAAGTACAGTATGCTTGCATATGCAGAATTTTTTAGTGTTTCACACTTATTCCCCATAGGTGTGTATCCACTCCTGAAAACTGAGATAAAATAAAGCCAGAGGATCGCACTGTTCTTTAATACTGTATTTTTTTACTTTTTAATTCATTTTTAAACTTTTTTTTTGAGGGGAGATTATTTATTTTAAGAAAAGACTCTTGCATTGACTTTTTTTTTAATGAGAAGTATTCCCTTACCAAGGGAGTCCAATGAGATGACAGGTTAATGCAACAAACAGTTTTTGTATTAAAATACTGTACTTGGACCAGTGAAGCAGCCTCAGGTGTTCTTAATGTAATACAGAACCCCCTTTTTTTTTCTGGTTTGATTTACCTTTGGGAAGCTTGTTAAATGCCTCATCCTATTTAGCTTATCACAGAAGGAAAACTGTTAGTATGCCTGGGCTTTGTTTGTTAGTTTTTGTTTTTTTGGCTTCTTGAATTAGCAGTGGATTGACCTAGCTGTCTTTCTTAGAGAAATGTAGTGGCATTTCTCAAGGGGTGACTAGCAAAGGTGCTCTTCTAATGTGCAAATTTGATAAAAATCATGATGGGTTGTTTTGTAGTACATTGATCAATACATTAATATTATTGTCAGAATCTCATAAAATTAATGTGCAAGCACGAAGACTTACTACATGCTAGATACGCTGTGATAGCATGTAAATATCATGAATGTTTATCTTCCTGCAGTATTGTTGTTAATAGCTACCGTTTTATTTAAGGAAAGAGTGGAACTACTTTGTTTCTATGTTCATTTAGTGATATTATTTAAAGTAACACTGTACTGGCAAAAAAAAATGGTGGTTCAGTGTTCATTTTGGTGAATTTAACTGACATTCTGTCTTGCAGAATTAACATTTTGTATTACTACTAAATTGTGTACATTTTGGTACAGACTACTTTTTCAGTTTCAGTAAAACAATGGAAAACATAATGGTTTAATTGTGTTGAGCTTAATTCATGACTTAATGGCATAAAATGAGAAGGTTGAGAATAAGATTGGACATGTAACAGGGAGCATGGAACCTCTCACCTTGCTTGCAGAAGCCTGTTCTCATTTAGCCTTCCTGACGTTGAATTACTCAGTTTGTCCAGATGGGAGAACTCACTTTAGCCTTAGTGTTACCCTTTCTTTAAGCCTGTTTGAGTGTTTCTCCTGTTTTCCAAATAACTGCAGAATTGTCCTTTTGGCAGTCTCTTATGTGCCCACTAAAAGACCTGGAGAGATGCTTTTTATCTGTTACTTGATACCTGAATTTCTATCAAAATACATAGCACAGTTTACATATTATTCTTCCAAAACAGGTCAGCTTTGAAGAGTGAAGACCTGCCATGCTACATGAGGAATTTGATATTAAGGGTTTCAATAACTGTGCATGCTAGCAGCCCCTTGATGCCACTAAAGATCCTGGAACTTATTAAAATGTTAGAGCTCCAGCCCTGGATCTTTGTCTTCAATCATGCCCTACAGCCCCATAGTTACCTTCTCATATGAGATCTTAATGTCCAACAATCTGTGATCTAGCATAGAGTAGAGCCTGGATTCTCTTCAGTGCTATAGCTCTTAAGCCCAAAGTGGCAGTTAGCATTTCAAACTTCAGGGAACTGCAAGATTCTTACTTAACACATTACAGTACATTACATTTCAACATCACTGCAAAACTTGCAGAGCAAGACTGTTTCAGAACAAGACATCCTTGGGAAAATCAAAAGAGCAGCTTGGAGACATGGTCTTACAGCTGCAGCAATCTACATGATACACTATTGTAATACGTGTAGTTTTTCAAATCTTTTATAACCTTTGGCTAAATTAAAACCAATAAATCTGTATTTAATAACTAATTTGCTCCCTGCTTTACCTAGGCTTACCTCCTTCTGTGTGTTGCAGTTCTTTCCCTGCTGCCATGAAAGCTTTAGCTGTCTGAGACTTAGAAGCTCTGCAGCACCAGTTGTGCTGATTTTTGTCCCCTTTAGTTTTCCTCAGGGAGCAGAGTGAGTTAAGTTACACCTTACCCCATCTCGCTGCCAGGCCTAGGGGTCCTGCAGGTCCACATGGGTCCGTGCCGATGCCACTCGCGTGTCGCAGAGCTAAGGCGGCAGAAGCTGGTAGCAGGCGAGTCCTCCCAGCAAGGACCCTGCACAGACACTGCACCCCCGTTCCCAGGGGAGTGCCACAACCAGCTATGTCGCTCATGGAAGAGTTCAAGCCTAAGTTTAGCTAGGGGTGTTACAGTTAGACCCAGCATAACTTTGATCCATGCTACTGTCAGCACTGCATGGGGGAACTTTCTCCATGCTGTGGATACTGCCCTTAAAAACAGCTAAGGTAAAGGAGTCATCTTCCCTGCCGTTTTAGCTGCTTTTATTTTCCCTCTTACAAACACCCTCTTAAGAAGATGTATGTTTTTAAGAGAGGCCTTCTCTGCGGGCTGTGTCCGCCTGCCTCCCTCCCCGGCTGTGCCTTTGGGAGGCTGGTGCTGCCCAGATGCTGCTGTGGGCGGCAGCGGCTGAGCTCCTCAGGGCAGCAGTTTCCTCTGCAGGCTCCTCCTGCCTCGGGGCCGCGCCGTACAGGCCGGTGCTCCCGGCAGGCACGCTGTCACCCGTGTCCACAGCAGTTACAACAACGTGACGCCGCCGCCACCGCCGCCTCTGCGCTTTGTTGCCCTGTCTAAAGGTCACTGCTGGCCCTGAGAGCTTCCTGCTTGCACCTAGTCCTGGGGAGGAGGAAACCTCTGAAACCAATCCTATCTCTACAGTGCCTTTAGAATACAATGTGTAATGCCCAATTGCCTAAAATTTCCCATCGTCACAACTGATTTATGGTCAAGCAGCTCAATTACCACATGGCACATAAGGGACTCTAGCCTCAGCTTCCATAAGCCTCCCCCAAATCCAGAATCCAGCAATACTCCCGTTCTTAGGATGCAGGGAGGTAGAAACATTAGGTCTTGGCAAGAGTATTTGCTGAGCTCCACAAGAGCAAAATAAAGACCAACTCCTCTTGCAGAGATTCGCATAGGTCAGTTTAGGGATGGAACTTTATGTACCATGAAATTATCCTGATGAGCAGTGTGACCTGGAGCTGCCAGCCTGGGGCCGGCCTCTCACGCCCACTGCGAGCCTAGCTGCACGACTCTGGAGCTTCCAGCTCTCTCACTGCTCCTGCTACATGATTTGCCAAATTGCTTCTCGTTTAGCCTGTAATGGCTGCTGGGACAAACAGAAGGCAAGGCCAAGGGGGAGGCTGTGGCCCAGTAATCATTAATCTGCCATGCCCGAAAGCAGCCCGAGGGAGGCAGTGCCACTGTGGGTGGCTATCTAAAGGTTCACTGAGAACCCTATTTCCTCCCCAAAGTGAATGGGCAGCGGTGCCACCCTCTTGCCCAGGGGAGAGCAAGATGGGCAGGCCCAGCAGCGTCAGGGAGAGAGATCACTGACAGAGGAGATGCAGAATAAACAGAACAGTGCTTTTTTCAGGAATTGTCCTGTGTTTCCCACATGATTATAGGATCACAGAATGGTTGAGGTTGGCAGGGACCTCTAGAGATCATCTAGTCGAGCCCCCCTTGCTCCAGCAGGGATACCCAGAGCACAGGGCGGCATCCAGGTGGGTTCTGAAGACCTCTAGAGAAGGAGACTCCACAGCCTCCCTGGGCAGCCTGGGAATAACTGTTTCTTTGCAAGTCTAATGAATTCAACCCGACCACTACCAAAGAAATGTTCTCGTGGCAATTTAACATTTAAAACAAAACACACCAAAAATGGTGATGTAAAAAAAAAAAAATCTGTAACATGAAAACTGAAATGAATCCATACGGGCCACATCTGATTCCTTTCCAAAATGGAGGTGCTTCCCACTAAAACAAGGTGGAAAAATCCAGTCTCCTGGATTTTCTCCCCCCCGGTGAGAAACCGAGGCGCTGGACTGCTGCTCTGTGGAACTGCATCCCTGCTGCTGTTCCGTGCCCAGACATCGCGGCCAGCCGGCAGGCAGCAAGGGGATGGACCTGGTGAAACCCCTTCCCAGAGCGCCCTGCTGCTGCTTTCCCTGGGACTCCTGCTTTGGGCGAGAGCCAGACTGCGCCCGGGCCTCCAGAAACGCGCCCCCCCCCGCCCAAACCAACAAACTGCAACTTAGTATTTTAAAATAAGCAGCATTAGTAGAAAATAGTCAGCTACATGCAATGCATTAGGGATTACTTAAATTGAAAATATCGGTATATACCATAAAGCAACATACTCTTTTATCCTCGCACTAAGCTGATTCTATACAAACGACCTCAGTTAAAAAACATTACATACGTAATATATATGTGTCATTACAACTGCTTAAGGAGCAGAGGCACCAGCTCCCCCCCGAGCACTAGGGCAGCCATCGAGACACGATCCCCGCGGCGTTACCCGCTTCCAACGGCCGCCGTCAGCGCCCCGCGCCGCTCAACGTGCGCCCCCACCCGCGCGGCCGTTGGGCCCCGCCCTGAGGGTGGAGTAACGGCTGCGGCCAGGGCGGGGCCAGGCGGCGGAGCTCGGCCCGCCCCACCCCTCGCACCGCCTCACGTCGCCTCGCGCCGCCTCGGCGCGTCCCGCCGGGCCGCGGGGTGGCGCTGCCGCCGCGCGGGGGCCGCCCCGCCCCCCCCCCCCCCCCCCGGGGCGGGGCGGGGCCGCGCCGCCCCCCCCCGCGCGCGCGCGGGGGCCGCCCCGCCCCGCCCCGCTCCCGGGGCCGCCCGCGCTGCCGCTCCCGCTGCCGCTGCCGCTCCCGCTCCCGCCCCGTCCCCGCCGTGTGCGCTCGGGCCGCGCCGCCGGGCAGCGCGGCGCCATGGAGGCGCCGCCCGTCACCATGATGCCCGTCACGGGCGGCACCATCAACATGATGGAGTATCTGCTGCAAGGTGGGCTGCGCGGCGGGTAGGGGGGTGTCGCGTGTGTCGCGCTGCCGCCCACGCCGTGTCCCCTGTGCCCGCAGGCAGCGTGCTGGACCAGAGCCTGGAGAGCCTCCTGCACCGCCTGCGCGGCCTCTGCGACAACATGGAGCCCGAGACCTTCGTGGACCACGAGCTGGTGTTCCTGCTGAAGGGGCAGCAGGCGAGCCCGTTCGTGCTGCGCGCGCGGCGCGCCCTCGACAAGGGCGGCCTGCCCTGGCACCTGCGCTACCTGGGCCAGCCCGAGATCGGCGACAAGAGCCGCCACGCGCTCGTGCGCAACTGCGTCGACATCGCCACCTCCGACAACCTCACCGACTTCCTCGTCGAGATGGGCTTCCGCATGGACCACGAGTTCGTGGCCAAGGGGCACGTCTTCCGCAAGGGCATCATGAAGATCGTCGTGTACAAGATCTTCCGCATCCTCATGCCGGGCAACACGGAGAGCATCGAGCCGCTGTCGCTCTCCTACCTCGTGGAGCTCAACGTGGTGGCGCCAGCCGGGCAGGACGTCGTTTCCGACGACATGAGGAACTTTGCCGAGCAGCTGAAGCCCTTAGTCCACCTGGAAAAAATTGACCCCAAAAGGTTAATGTGATGGAAAAACCAGGTAATTCAGGCATTGGCTGTAGTAGTGAGTTCCTTTAAAAGAGCTCTGGAGGGCAAATCAAAACGGAGCAGGGGAGCAAAGGGCTGCACACCGATATATCATTGCTTGCAGTTACTCTTTTTTCATTTGCAGATGTGAATAAAAGCAAACACTTAAGAGTACCAAACATGAATATCAGTATTCCTCTTCCTACCAGGGAAAAATAAAATAAATTTAAAAAAAATCGGAAGGTATAAGGCCTGACAATCCAAAACATCAGACTTACTGGAACTCATGCTGTGCGTTCCACATCTCAGTGCTGCCCTATTTTAGGGACTGTTCTCTTACGCTAGCTAGAAATCCTTTTTCTTCCAAGTAACACCCCTTAATGCAAAATATGCAAAGTGTTCTGTGACATAAGAATAAAATCAGAATCTACACATAGTATAAGAGACTTAAGTTTGTCTATTTACAGGGAAATAGTAATAGAGTTAGCAGCTAGAACTGAAGATACTTTATAGGGAAACTTTCTGATTTCTGTTTCTGATAATAGCCAAAATTAAAACTGAAAAGCAGTTTTAACAATATTACAGGTGTAAAAGGTTTTCAAATTCTCCTTGTATCTGTTCCATTTATTCCACTGAAGTTACGTATGGCAATCTCAACTAATAGGATACAAAATAACAGCTTTAATTGGTTTTATTTTTATTTTTACTTTTAGTTTTTTTTTATTTTTTTTTTAAGAACCCTCACACCTTCCAGGTGATGAAGAAAACTGAAACAAGTTTCACTTAAAGAGTATTGTATAGCTGTGAAGTTTATTACAGGAATCATTTTGTTTAGCATCTCAGTAGGAGAGCTGCTTACCCTTCATTTCAGTACTGTTTGAAGTAGGGGAGTTTTTTAGTATGGTTCAAACAAAAGGTTGAGAAAACAGATAAAGGTAATAGAAGCATATTTAAATTTCTTATTCTTTACAGAAACATAGAAGGCAACCACTTACTACTGAAAATGCAACAGTGTCTGCCAGAGACACTGCCATTTTTTAACTTACTAGTCATATAGAACAGCTCAGGGCATATAACTATCAAATACTAATTCTTCCTGTAGGAAGAAATCTCAAGTTAACGGAGTTTTCATCACAGGAATTTGGGCAGGTGAAGCCGTGTTAACTGGATCAGTGCTCCCTGGGTACCTGCCTCTCAAATGGTCCTCCGAGGCGCAGGAACAACTGCCTATTCCAGCACAGCTGCCCTGAGCCAGCTGGCTGAAAATGCTGCTGTGTTGAATACATAGCTCTGCTTTTCAAACAGGATATCAGTGATGACACAGCCTACGTGATTTTGCTCATTATCAAAATGTTTTGAGGATGAGGGCGCACGTACAGTTGCTTTGTGCACACTGAAGCATGACTTACCCTCATAGGACTGCACATTGCCCAGGGATTTTGCATCTCTGACCGTTGCATCGCTCCACGCGGCTCCTGTTGTCGCAGGACAAGGTTCCACCGGGCGCAGGAGGAAGCAGGACTCGCCGGGTTGCTCCATGATTCAGCTGCTGGTGGTTGTTCCTCGGGGCTGCTGTCACATCCTGCCTGCGCAAACACTGGCTGCAGATGTCCCCTGCCACAGATACACGGCCTGTCTGGTGACACGGAACCGTGGAACGCAGCTCAAATGGTCGGAGAAGCTCAGCACCACACGCCAGCTTTTCAGGGCTGCTTTCCGATGGGTATGCGCACGGATACACAGAACACAGCAAAAGGGCCTCCCCCATTGCAGCTGAAAATAACTCAGAGAAGGCTTAACACGTACACTAACAAACCCAAAAGATTTGCTGAAGTTAGTACAGACTCATTGTATGTGCTCATGCTGTTGACTATCAACTAGGATGGCTTTAGTTTGAAGGGGCAGAAAAAGTACAAGAGGCAGATGTGTAGAGAGAAAGAGCCAGTGGCTACAGCTGGGGAAAAAAAATAAACACTTTCAGGTACTCAAGTACCTGGTTTTTTTATCTGAGTACAGCACACTGATAAGTTGTGCGGTATACCCTTATCCTATTGTTAATTGATTTTGGAGTGCTAAATTACCCTTAGGTACATACATGACTACAAGAGAACCCAGCTCTTACTTATAGCTGTTTTTTTTTCCTCCCATTTTTAAGGTACAAGCATAACCACATAGCCTATGAGACCAAAAGTGCAACTGTGTTTTTTTTTTTTTTTTTTTTTTTTTTTCCTCTCCTCCTCTCTCCAGCTAAAATACCTGCATTTTGTAAAGGCTTTTCATTTGCTGCATTGTATTACCTAAGGCCCGATACCACAAATCTTTCAAGAACTTTCCTTTCTGCTTCCAACTGCTCTCCGATCGCACCTTCCTGCCCTGTTTCTACAGCTGTTTTGGTTACGAAGAGCAGAAATCCCTGCCCAGCAAGCCAAGGCAGGGCCTCTGCAGATCCACGAAGCCCCGGCTGTTCCTGCTGCCGGGGAAGCTCGTCCTGCTGCAGCTCGTCCGAAGCCCTGGCCGCTCAACATGCACTTCTCCCTTCTCCGCTTCAGAAAGAACCCAGCTATTTTCTCTGGCAAACACTTCACTTCCACATCTCTGTTCCTCCCATTGAAGTGTTAATGCTATTTCTGTACAAGAGGAGACAAAAGCTTAAATATAATTTTGTTGGGTGATGGCTTGGCTCATTGGTTATACTGTTATTCTTTTCTCCATTTATGCTGTTCGTTTCCTACAGAGGAAGTAATTTGTGAGACATTTCACAGATATTTTTAATACTATCTCACAATAGAAGCTGAGTAAAATATTCAGCTTTCCTAAAAAGAGGATGTTTCTCAGAATAAGCCTTTTTACTATAATGACTTTTAAATAAATCAGATTTTATTCATTAATAAAATCTGCTTAGTTTGGTAAGTCCTTACAACTGGACTTATTAGACAAGCCCTTTCTTAACTATCACTGTCCCCTAAGGATCCACAACTAGTTAATGGCAAGGATTAGACTTAAAGGGATCTTCAGCCCTACCTGATTTCACAGTTCGGTTTTCCTGGGAACTTGCTCCGACTGACTAGGTTGCAGCAGCCCCACAGGCACTGCCACACGGACAGTGTGACCTGCGCCTGTGCAGTCCAAGGTTTCTGAGCAAGGTGGACAGCTGAAGACTTAAACATCAAGACGCAGGCACCTGAATTAGCACACCAGCGTAACACATGGTTTGTGCCAGCAAGATAGCATGACAAGAAGAACTGTTCACTCCTCATCAGTTCCTTTGGGAGTTGCTGCCATACAGTGCAACAATATAAGACACCTCTTAACGTGCTTCTGATCTTAGTACAAAATGAGCTCTTCTGTAGAAAGACAGCTAACGTGGCACACAAGCTGTCATTTCACTAACCTCAATAACACACACCATTTTTCTGTTTTTACATCCATGACACTATTACATATAACAATTTTATACACTCTAGAAATGGTTACAAGGCAGAGCATTTTAAACCCAAGTTTCTCCAAAGCACTAGGTGTGAGAAATAACACAAACCAGGGATTTTTCTTCATAATATTTTTAATACTTTTCACTTTTAAATACTGGTTTTAAATTTGTGATTGTAACATGGAAGAGCCAACTTCTTTAAATTTTTAAAACTTATCATTAGGATCATAAAGCTATTATAGAACAAACAGTTACACTCTACACACTCAGGGTACTCAAAAATATGATTCATGTTTTGAGTCTGTAGATGAACAGTGGCAATTCAAATACAGCGTTATCTGTACAACTTGACAAAAATACAGGTGGACAATCTGATTAAAGAGAATCAGCACAGCTTCAGATAAACCAGCTCAGCCCAATTAAGGAAAAGGTACTTTTTTTTTCCAAAGTGCATCACATCTTTTCTACAGAGAATTTGTCAAAGACGGTCAGATTTTCAGGCAGGAGAATGACTCTCTCTCTCTCTCTCTCTCTCTCTCTCTCTCTCTTTCTCTCTCATCCTTATCACCAATACAAGCCGTATCCAGTATTTTTAGTTTTTCTGGCTGATTTACTTTTCCAGATCTAATGTGGCAACATTCCAAATTCTCCAGAATGGAGGCAGATAACATTTAGAAAACTGAGAGCTGCATTCTCGGCCCTTAAGTTGGTTCAGCTGTAAAACAGCCCCCTTCTACAGCCAGGGGCTTCTTCTGGGAAGAAAACCACCACTGCACAAACCTAACAGCTCCAGGACCTGGAAGAAGAGAACTCGGAGCACACATACGTGGGGCATTGACTGGAGAAACAGACGGCCCCAAGGGACAGGTGAATAAAGAAACCTCATAAACCCATGGAAGGTGCCTTCCAGAAGAAAAGGCATAGCTGCTCCTCACACATGGAGGGTCTGAGAGGTCTACAGGCAGGTACTGACCGAGCTCCTCCGTGTCTCGGTCCTGCAACCCCTTCCACGCTGGGTCAGGAGCTTCTTACCATCCCCTCGGGCAGGGCTAGCTGTAGTGAAGCACCAGTGCCTTCCTCTAGAAGTAGAATGTATTCTTTACAAATAGCATCTGTAGTGTAATTTTATTTACAGAAGAAATCACAAAAGTACATCACATTTAGTGCAAATGCAACTAATGATATAAGATTTATATACTGCTTTGTAAACTTTCCATACCTTTGTAAAATAAAGCTATCCAATTAAATTAAGAAACAGTTACTCGCCTGTGTTCAACAACAATTACCAAAAATGGCAAATAAGGAGTCAACCTTTTTCTATTTTTGGACAGTGTTTTTTTTTTTTTTTT